AGACCACTGTGACAGTCCTGGCGAATGACATTGGAAGTGGCGAGCAGTGATGGGAATAAAATCCAATGGAGTCCTCACTCCATATCCTTTGTCACTCCCCGAAGAAGCCCAAAGGTGGGGTGTGACCCATGATTCAGATCCTACCCTGGAGCATGATCCTTCCAGCCACATGCCGGGACTGAGGGACTCCCAGGCACTGGCAGACACCAGTGGGATAAAGCAAGACAGGTGTAACGGTCCAGCCAAGTGGAAAGCAGCCTGGCCCACCTGGGCTGTGTGGGCATGGTGTTGCTGCCTGACTGCTTCCTAGTGCGTGCCCAAGACATAGCCCCCTCCCACTTTTTGCTGTGTGAGCTCCTTCAGGCTCTGTGTCTCTGAGGCTCAAGCTCCTGTCAGATGAACAGTAGTGGGAACTCAAGGTGGGCATGGTAGTCCACTAACCCTAGGACTCAGGAGGTAGAGGCAAGAGGATCAGGAGTTCAAGGTCATTCTCAGAATCCAGGCCAGCATGGGATACATGAGACCCTTTTTTTTTAATTAATACTAATAAATAATAGAAATAAATAATAATAATAGAGCTGGGATCCAAGGTCATGAGGACAAAATGAAGCCGTGAATTTTTTTTTTTTCTGTCTTTTTGAGACAGGATCTCCCTGTAGCCCCAGATGGCCTGGAACTCACTATGTAGACCAGGCTGGCCTTGAACTCACAGAGATCTGCCTGCCTCTGCCTCCCAAGTGCCGGGATTAAAGGCCTGCACCACCATGCCCTGCAAAACCATGAATTTAAAGGACTTATCACAGTGCTGGAGACAGCTGAATTCAGAAATACCCACTGCTGCTGTGCTGTATTTCTGTTTCTCATACATTTATCATGACAGCAATCATCTCCAAGAACACCTACAGGAATTGAAAGTGTCCAGGCGGACAGCCTAGGCTCTTGTCCCATTTCTTTCCCCTACATCACTCCAGGCAAGCTATTTAAGCTCTCTGAGCCTCAGTTTCCCCACTTGAAAATGACAGTGATAGCCCCTGCATCAGGGAGTGCCAGACGTTCCACAAGGTAATGTGTAGGAAATATTTAGAACCAGGTCTGGCTGTGTCCACTGCCTCTCCCCTAAGGGCAGGGCTGCAGCTTACTTCTTTGTGCCCGTCACCCATCCAGACCACCTGCCAACCCCTTAAGAGCCTGGATGGAATATGGTGCAGGCCCACAAAGCCAATGGGATGTGTCCACCCAGTCTGTGGCTCTGAGTCACAGAACTGCTTACTGCACCAGGATTTGCTCCCCTAAAATACAGAACAGGTAATAGTATAGCCTCTGGCTAAAAGGGGGGTAATTGGTGTACCTCCCTGCACCCCTGCCCTATCTTAGCTGGAGCAGGGGCATGTAACTTCCATTAGAGTCGCAGCTCTGGGACCTCATCCCCTGGCCCCTTGCAGAGCACTTTGCGCTGGTAACCTCACAAGGCAGACGCCATTGCCAGCTCATTTTTCAGAGGAGGAAACAGGCTCTCTAAGGTGAAGGGACAAGGCCAGTGTACCCATGGGAACTAGGCTTGCAGCCTTCCTCCTATGGACAGGAAAGACTGCTTCCTCATACACCTGCCTCTCCTCTACATGAAGGCTGTGTTGAAGGAAGGATCCACCCTGGTTGCCTCTGAGGCTGGGGTATCAAAGGGCCACTTCCTTTTTACCTGAAACCCTTCATGTGGTTTAGTTTGACCTCCAGCTTCTACAGCCAGAGCTAGTGAGTACCTGTACCCTGCTCCAGGGTGTTTTCAACAAACATGTCCCCATCCAACCTTTTCACTTTAAAAGTATGTTACATTATAATCCAGCATGAACAGTTTCACAAAACCATTCGACTTTTATGTAACATACATTGGCAGTTTTTGTGTATAGTGTTTTTGGTTTGGTTTTTGGTTTCTTGGTTTGGGTTTTTGGGGGTTTCTTTGTCTTTTTGAGACAGGGTCTCCCTGTAGCAGCCCCAGCTGACCTGGAACTCACTATGTAGACCAGGCTGGCCTTGAACTCACAAAGATCCACCTGCCTCTGCCTCCCAGGTGCTGGGATTAAAGGTGTGCACCCAGCTTGTTTTGGGGGGGTTTTTTTTGTTTGTTTTTTGAGACAGGGTCTCATGTAGCTCAGGCTGCTGAAAACTTAGGCGTGTAGCCAGAGATGACCTGGAACTCCTAATCTTCCTATCTTTACCTCCCAGGTGCTGGGATTTGCAGGTGTGCACACCTGGCTAGAATTTATCCTAAAAATTTTAAGTTGATTTGCAGTTGGGCATGGTGGCACAGGCCTGTAATCCCAGCACTAGGAAACTTGAGGCAGGAGGATTTCATGAACTTGAGTTCATGAGTTTCAGGCCAGTCTGGGCTATAGTGTGTTTATTTATTTATTTGTTTATTTATTTACTATTTTATATTTTGTCTTTTTGAGACAGGGTCTCCCTGTAGCCCCAGCTGGCCTGGAACTCACTATGTAGACCAGGCTGGTCTTGAACTCACAAAGATCCACCTGCCTCTGCCTCCCAGGTGCTGGGATTAAAGGTGTGCACCCAGCTTGTTTTGGGGGGGGTTTTTTTGTTTGTTTTTTGAGACAGGGTCTCATGTAGCTCAGGCTGCTGAAAACTTAGGCGGGAATTGATTTTTGGAACAGTTGGGTCCCCACAGTTTGCAGTTGATAGTAGTGGGTCCCTTGTAGGAATTAAGCGAGATGACTCAGAAGATAAAGATGCTTCCTGGGCAAACCTGATGACCTAAATTTAATCACTGAAACCCCCATAAAAAGTGAAAGAAGAAGCCCGGTGTGGTGGCACACGCCTTTAGTCCCAGCACTTGGGAGGCAGAGGCAGACGGATCTCTGACTTCAAGGCCAGCCTGGTCTACATACTGAGTTCCAGGACAGCTGGGGCTATAGAGAGACCCTGTCTCAAAAAAGACCCAAAAAATAGTGAAAGAAGAAAACCAGCTCCACAAAATTGCCCTCTGATCTCCACAGGCACACACACATCATGCACACACAATAATAAATTTTTAACTTAATTAAAAAATTGGGGGCCGGGCGTGGTGCGCATGCCTGTAGTCCCAGCACTTGGCAGGCAGAGGCAGGTGGATCTCTGTGAGTTCAAGGCCAGCCTGGTCTACATAGTGAGTTCCAGGCCAGCTGGGGCTACAGGGAGACCCTGTCTCAAAAAGACCAAAAAACATGAACACACCTCAAAAAAAACCTAAAGAGCAAATTGCTCTGTCATACGTGTGTGTGTGTGTGTGTGTGTCTATATAGTCCTCAAACTGGCCCCTTATTTTTTGAATCTGGAACTTACCAGTTTAGCTACATTGACTTGCCAGGAAGCCCTGGGGAATCCACCTGTCTCTGCCCCCCACCACTAGGGTTGCAGGCATATGTCTGCATACCTGACTTTTACGTGGGTATGGGGATCCAAACTCGGGTCTTCATGTTTGCACAGCACGGAGTTTACCTATTCAGCTATCTCACAAGACCCTTAAAACATACTTAAGCTTAAAAAAAATCAAACCTCCGGGTGTGGTGGTGCATGCCTCTTTAATCCCAGCGCTTGGAGGCCGAGGCAGGTAGAGCTCTATGAGTTCAAGGCCAGCCTGGTCTACATAGTGAGTTCCAGGCTAGCTGGGGCTACTGGGAGACCGTGTCTCAAAAAGACGCCCCCCCCCAAAAAAAATCAAGCCTTGTTGAAGCCTCTAGATTCAATTCCTATACCCACAAAAAATTTTTTTTAATGTTACTGAACAATTGCCACAGTCCTAGTAAAAACATAACTTCCCAGAGTCTCTCCTCAAAAAAGTCCCATTTCTCTGATTGTGGACACATGTGTTTTTAATGTACAGAAAGAAAAGCTGATGAAGGAAACAGCAGACTGGTAGCCATGGCTCCCTCTAGAGAGAAGTAGAGGCTGAGAGACAGCCTGGCCTCCTCCTTCAGCTATAGGCTGTACCAAAGGGACCAGGGCTTTATTAGTTACTTTGTGTAACCATGATCAAACTATCTCTAAGAGAACAGGTTAAAAGGAGGCAGGATTCATTTTGGCTCCCAGTTTTGAGGGTTCCGCCCATACTGACGAGGTCCCATACACTTGGACAGAGCTTCACGGTGGCAGGAGTGTGTCACAAGAGTTTGTCTGCCACATGGCAGTCAGGAACTAGGGTTCAGATGTAACCATCAAAGGAATACCCCCCATGGACTCATTTCTTGGGTTGAGTCCTACCTCTTGAAGTTTCTAGAACCTCCCAAGATAGTGCCATCAGCTGTGGATCAAGCATTCAGTACCCAAGCCTGTGAGAGCCATTTCATATTCAAACAGTAACAGGCAACTTCTTAGTCACCCTCAGAGATCCAGATGCGTTAGAGGGACGTCTGAGTGGCACTGGGTCTGTGCAGACACTGTCCTTCTGTATTACAGGAATCCTCTTCCTCCTCTTTTTTGCATATGTGTTATGCATGTGTGTACACATGGATGTAGAGGTCAAAAACTGACATTGGACATCATCCTCAGTCACTATATATATTAAGGCAGGGTCTCACTTGACCTAAGCACCCACTGATTCTGCTGGTCTACCTAGCCAACTCACCTGGGGTATCTGATCTCTGCTTCTGGCTGGGATCATAGGCAGGTTGCCATGGCCACCCTGCATTTATGTTGGTGCTGGGGATCCAAATCTAGTCCTCACACAGGTACAGCAAGCACTTTACCCCGGAGCCATTCCTCTATCCTCTAGCACCTTTTTCCTCATTTTTTAAAAAAGAAACCACCTATATAGCCCAAGCTGGTCTCGAACTTGATATATAGCAAAGACTGACTTTGAACACCTGATCCTCACGCCTGTATCTCCCACGTGCTGGGATTATAGGCATGCATCACCCTTCACCACTATTGCTGGAATATTTGCTGCAGCAGCCTAGTATTTGTGTCTCTCTTCTGTAAGTGAATTTATTCCTTTTCCTTTGCTTTTGCAGTGACATGGGCTCCAGGGCTGGCTACCCCACTCAGGTTTACAAAACAGCCAGTGCAGAGACTCCCCGGCCCTCCCAGCTCGTTCAGTCCAGCCCCTTCCAGCTCTCCACCTCCGTCCCCAAGTCTTTCTTCTCCAAGCAGCCTGTGCACAACAAGCACCCAACAGGGTGGAAGAGAATGGATGAGCCCCCACCTCGGCCACTGCCCTTCACCGACACCAAGAAGTAAGTGTCTAGATGCACATAACCCCCCCCAAAACCCCTCTGAGTCAGGGAGACGGTGACACCTGACTCACTGTGCTCACCCACACCCTGGATTTACGGCTGAGAACAGGACAGATGACGAAGACCCCTGCTCTCAGGGAACTGATGTTCCGTTGGGGTGACAGATGGTAAAAAGTAAGAAAAAAAGTATTTGGGTGTATTGGCACAGAGCTGTCATCTCAGAACTCACATCTTTGCTTCCCGTTTTGGGGTGGGAGTGCTGGGATTTTAAAGATTTATTACTTTTAATTTATGTGTATGTGTGTCTGTCGTGTGAGGAGGGAGTTGCTCATGGAGGCCCTGAAAGCTGAAGTTACAGGCGGTTACGAACCACCCAGTGTAGGTCCTAGGAACTGAACTCCAGTCCTCTGGAAGAGCAGCAAGTGCTCTTAACTATGAAGCCATCTCTTCAGCCCCTCTGTGCTATGATTTTAGTGGGGTTTTTTAGGTTTTTGGTTTTTTTTTTCAGTGTATACAAGTATTATACCTGTATGCATGTAAATGCACCTGTGTCATGCAGTGTCCTTGGAGGCCAAAAGAGGGCATCAGATCCCCTGGAACTGGAGTTATAGAGAGCTGTTAGTTACTATGTAGGTGCTGGGATTCAAACTTGGGTCTTCTGCCAGGGCAGCCACTGCTCTTAACCACTGAACCATCTCTCCAGCCCCTGAGTGCTAGGATTTTAGATGCATGCTACCATATGCAACTTTCTGCATGGGCTCTGGGGATTGAGCTCTGGTCATCAAGCTTTCCCAACTAGTACTTTCTACCCACTGAGCCATCTCCCTTCCTTTATTTGTGGGAGGTAAGGAGGTATTAGACATCCTCCTGTAAAACTCAATGAGGCAGGCACTGTCCTTGAACCTGGGTCCCTCTGTTCCCTCCATTAGGCTAGAAGCTAGCAAGCCCCAAATGATCCTCCTGTGTCTGCCCACCCTCGGAGCTGGAGTCCTAGGCATGCATGGGATGTCTGACCTCTTCCATGGGTGCAGGAATCTGAACCCTGGTCCCCATTGTGACGCAGTACACACTCTTAACTACTGCACCATCTCTCCAGTTCCTGCATTTTGATAAAGAGTGGAAGAGGGAGGAGGAGGCCTGTACAGTTAAGAAACAGCTTTGGTCCTAGGGGTACACTCAACAGGAAAGCACTTGTCCACCTAGAATGCACCAGTGAGGGAGGGCTGAGGGTGCGGCTCATAGTAGAGATCTTTACCTAGTGTGCACAAGTCCATGGGTTCAATCCTCTGCAACACAAGAAAAAAAAAGACAAAGAAAAATTCAAAAGGTCTTTCCAGTTGTAACTGGAGAATATGATAATCTGTGCTTTTGGCACACTTACCATATTGCTGAGCTCAGTTTTGACTTCTTTTAATATAAGGATTATTGATGGGACCCAGGCATGGTGATACAGGCCTTAAATCCCAACACTCAAGAGGCAGATCTCTATGAGATCGAGGCTAGCCTGACCTACATAATGAGTTCCAGGCCAGCAGCTGGGGCTACAGGGAGACCCTGCCTCAAACAAAGATTATCGATGGCTTTGTTTATCTATTGGGAAGACGACTTACAGAGGAGTCAGTTTTCTCCTTCTACCATGTGGATCCTGGGGACCAAACTCAGCTCATCAAGCTTGGCAGCAAGTACCTTTACCCACTGAGCCATCTCACACCAGCTCAGTTCCAGGTTCTTCTAGGTGAATGCTCACAACAGCTCCATGAGGATGTGATATCCTCCTCACTTAACAGATGAGACAACTGAGGGTCACATGCTGGTGGGAGATAAATCTAAGACCAGGCAGCCAAGTCCAAGGCTTCTGTTCTGTTGGGTGAGGGGTCCCTGCCATCCTCCCCCTCCTCTTTCCAGCACCTTCTTTCCTGACCTGGTTGGGTCTGTTTAAGTTTGTGAATGACACGTAGCTTGGAGGTGGGGTGGAGGATACCAGGAGACAGAAGATGGTCCCTGGAGATGTGAGCAGGCCCTGAGAATCCAGTTCACACATCTCACTGACAGTCAGCAGGGATTCTGAAAACTAGCATCTGGCCTTTTCTTCCCCTGCCTATAACCTCCAGTGACTCTCCCACCCCAGAATTAAATACAGAGGCTCAAGGTCACTGAGCACATCTTGTACCTAGCACTTGCACACTGTTTCTTGCACAAACACTTGCTGAGGTCCTGCCTGATCTGCCCTCCCTCCTCATCCTTCACTCTGCTCCAGCTGTGCTGACCTCTTCCCGGGCCTCAAACTTGTCACCTACAGACACATCTCAGGGCCTTTGCACTGCCTCTTCCCATGGCCTGGAACTCTTTCTCCAGATAGCTTTGAGCTTGATGCCACCTTGTGCGATAGGCCTTCGCAGCCTTGAATAGGAAAGTCTCCACTGTCAGTCTCTGTCTTTGTTCCCATTTGTCCCACTGGAAGGTACAGGACCTGCCTGGCACACACTGTGGGAGCTTAGTCAGTAAATATACAAGTCATGGGTCTCATTTTTTGATTCTCTCTGCAACCCCAATAAGTGAGAGACCCCCACTTTTCCATGAGGCTGGAGGGTCAAGCCCTGCCTAACCCCACATGCTCCTCCGTGACCTACAGCTCCTCTAGTGGCCTCGCCTCCCTTCTGCATCACTCTCTGTGACTAGTACCTCCATCCACCTCAGCCCCGGATCCTGAGTCCATTTCAAGGGCCGTCTTCGTAAGGGAGCACAATCCTGCCCTGCAGACATGATGTCTCACAGTCTGGAAGCCAGGTGTCTCCTGCGCGTCCTGCTTGGAGCCGTGAAGGAGGCAGTATGGGAGGGCCTCTCTAGCAAGGGGTGCTTTGCTGCCTCCCCGCTAAGGCGAGGTGCCTCACCCCAGCACTGGCTTCATCACAGGGCCTTTCCCTCTGTGGGGTGGTCTCTGGCCACCTTTCCCCAGTTCTACCAGATTAGAGTCCACCCTAATGGCTTCATTTTAACTGGATGACTGCACAAAGCCCAGATTCCAGGGCAGGTCACATTCAGAGATACAAGGGCTTGGGACATAAACTTATTTTTTCTGATTAAATGCAAGACTTTGCACATTAGGCAAGTGCTCTACCACTGATCTCTATCCCCATTTATTTTTTTCTTTTTGGGATGCTGGGGTTAGAACCCAGGGCCTTACACACACTAGGCAAGTCCCCAAAAACCTTGGTTTTTTTAGACTGGGACTTGTGGTCCTCCTGCCTCTGTCTCCAAAGTGCTAGGATCATAGATGTGCACCCCATCCATAGCATGCTACAGATACATTTTAAAAATCACATACAAAAAATACTGACTTACTGCTTTTGTCTGTATCCTCCCCAGTTTATAAAGTTGCTGGGGGGGTGCTTTTTTGAGGCTGGAGCTCAAACCCAGGACCTTGTGCTTTCTAAGCAAGTTTTCTACCATTGAGCTGTACCCCAGCTGTGAAGCTTTTTATTCCCTTGAGCATCTCCAAATCATGACCTTATCACTTTTAGAGACACTCTTGAGTCATCTAACCTAGTTTTCAGAAAACACCATTTTAAACTTGTGGCTAAATTATTCGAGATTAGACACTGAAATAAGATACTCTTGCTGGGGGTGAGGTTCAGGTGTAGAGAACTTGCCAAGCATGTACAAGGCCTGTCTGATTCCATCTCTAGTATGCCAGTAAGAAAACAAAAAACTTACCACCACTTGGGAAGTAGAGGTGGAGGCAAGAGGATCAGGAGTTCAAGGTCAGCCTGGACTATGTCAAATCTTATCTCAGAAAAAAAAAAGAAAACTAATCTTCTTGAAATTCAATACTGTATTAGAGTCCTCTAGGGAGGTACAACTGATGAATGAATGTATGTTGAAAGGGAATCTGTTAGATGGACACACACAATCGTGTCTGGGTAGTCCAGCAAAGCCAAGAATCCGGTAGTTAGTTTCTCAGTCTGTGAGGAAGGATGTCTTAGCAGTCCCAATGTGGCATGCAAGGCCTGGATTCCTGGAGAGCTGCTGGTTTTAAGTTTGTGTTAGGAGCGTGAAGAAACTGCTGGTTCTCATATCCTCGAAGGAGCACAGTAGTAGCAATAGGACAGATGAACTTGCCAACAAGCTCCTCCATCGCAGTCCCTTTTATCTGGGCAGCCACCAGAAGATGCCATCTACATTTAGGTGGGTCTTCCCTCTCCAAATAGTCTGATCAAGAAAATCCCCCACAGGAGTGCCCAACAACTTGGCTTTCAGTTGATTTCAGATCCAGTCAAGTTGACAACCTAGATTAACCATTACTGGAACTATCCCCAGGCCCAAGAATGGGTTGATAACTCGTTTCCCTACATTCATCAATACCCGTTCTAATCTAGGCACTATCACAAGCTCTTTCCCTGCTTTTAACCCCTCTAACCCCCACATCTTGCAGGTATGAGTGCTTTGTCTCTGATGTTCAAGATGAGGAAAGTCGAGGTACAGGACTCAGTTGTGGGAAGCAGTCACTGTTCCTGTTACACGTTTTGGCCTTAGAATTTCCCTCCACAATCTCCATGTGTTCCAAGCTCATTCCCCAGTGTAATTACCAAGTCTCCTCAAGGTCTCTGCCTCCCTCTTCATTGACCCTGGTCTCAGGTCTCTAAGAATCTAAAACTGGCCTTGACTAAGGCTGTGCGTCCCCAAGGATTGGCACTGGCGACAAGGAGCATCACCTGTCAGCCAGGCTTTGCAGACCTGGCCCCAACAACCCTCCTGGCAACCCCACAAAAGGGGTCTTGTTCTTTCCCCATTTCCAGAAGAGGCACCATTAGTATCTCACCCAAGGTCCCCACCTAGATGTGGCACAACAGATCTAAGATCTCAAACAATGGTGTCTTGTCCTTCTGAGTCAGGCAGAGGGGACCGCGTACAAGATGGTGCACTCCTCTTCTGACGAGAAACTTCTTGGAGGAAGCAAGCCTTCCCTCTTTTGAGGGAAGGCTTGACAAAAGATGGTGTGA